CTACGCAACCTGTTTAAATAAAAAGATAACCACTTCAGTGAACTTTAGCATACTCTTGATAAAGCGCCTTAGGATACAGGTTAACGTTTTGTAGATCAGGAAGAAGCGTTACTATTCAGAATGCGGTGGAGATTCAGACAATAAACTTAGTCTAACCAGATAAAGGCTACATAAAGCAAGGTGAGAAATATCCATGAATAAATGACTATGAGGTAATAGTCAATATGAATATGGATGGGGATAAGCAGAACTTGAAAGTGATAAACTTCTATTTCAGGTAACTCAAAGGGTGAAAAGTTACTTATTAACGCTGTTGTAATGAATACAGTTCAGTTTGAACTTGTCGAACGGTACTGGCTTCAGAAATTCTAAGTAAGCATGGGCTCCTTCGTATTTTACCTGCTAAGGACCAGTGCGTCTACCTGATGTATTGCATAAGTGACAAACTGTTTTAGTGCTGAATACATTTAAAACTCTTCAATGGATACTCATCGATGTGTACTCAGCGGCTCTAGCAGATAACCTCATCTGTGTTCTTCTTACGTGCTTGCTGTTGCATATACAGATGAAGTGATAAATGAAGTTGAATTTAACAAGATTTGGAAACATGTCTAATCTGCATGGGCTGTTTGATGTATTGAAGCAAATCTGACAACTGAGTAGGGGTTGGATGGTGCAATCACAACCCGTTCGTTGTTTCTTGAGCAACTTCATCTCCCTTGGAAGTCAAAACTGGAAACAACTCTTTCTTTTGAAGTATTGAAGCGTGAACTTTATCGGAAGCTGAAGTTTTTACAGTTTTTCTCGGGAGCACAACTTCTCTGGACCCTAGTATAAAATCCCTAACAAATATCTATTGTAGTTGTTTGGGTATAAATTATTGAAGTTATTCAGTACTGATCACTATATGTGATTTGTGAGGTGAATGATCCTTTCTGCTATACCATCTTCACTACTTCTCAAACATGGATAGAAAAAACAGATTTTCGCTTCTCTTTACATTTAGTATAACTTAATACTGTAGTGTGCATTGCTGAAATTTTGTAGCAGCTTACTTGTTTGTTAAACGCTCTCAAAGATAATGAAATCATCATTAAAATCTTTATTGAACACTGTTTTTTTGAAATCAGGTTTCAGTGTAGCGTTTTCTTAGTGCTGCATGTAAGTGTCATCTATAATTGGTCTAAATAAACTTCTATGGTAACGTCTTTAGTGTGCATAGGTAGGCAACGCTTCATTTAAGTTTTGCTACTCATAAATCATGTTTCCTGTTTGAAAAATGGTTATACTGCTAAAAACGAAGTTAAATCGTATTACGGCATGGATTTATGTGTTTCATCCATCTGGTGAAATCAAGGTTTTTTCCAAAGTGTATACTGATGATTCCTTGAGAGTCTTTTTCGAATTCGTTGCTAAACGAGATAGGATTTTGTGATGTGGCGACTTAATCGTATATGGGATAGGTATCATTAACACAATCATCTTAGGTGTCGTTGAATGTCAATACACGGAGGGGAATTAAAATTTAAAAGGATTGAGTTCATTTTAGGTTTAGTCGTCAATGGTATTTCTTTTCAGCTGTCTTCTTAGTTATTTAACAGTTCTCTTTTTTCTGTCACGTTTTGTTTCTTTCATCCACTCTGAGTTGTGAAATGTTGCTCAAAGTCAAATTTGTCTCACTGATACACTCTTCCTTACTCATTACAATCACATTGCCTTCCTTCTCATATCGAAGTATTATGATTCATTTGTCATTTTTCAAGTTCTAGCAAGGAGTATGAACTGAAATAATGTAGGTGTACGGCGCTTTATCTTTTTGCGATATAACGAAAAACTTCATGAATAAAAACTGAAGGAAAAGAAATGTTGAAGGATAGGTTTTACACAAATAGGGAGTTTAGTCGATGCTTTCGAATCGTTAGTCACCTTATTTAAGTCTCGTTCACTTCAAAAGTCTTTCTCCTAATGTAGCACATGAGATCGTTTTACTCTATTCAACAACTTTTTTGCATCCAGAATTCTTAATTTCAACACTTATCTATCTGAATAACTCGAATAAATTCTTCCTGGTCCTAAAGATTAGTACTCCAAACCAGTGAGATTCCGAGTGTGCGTCGCTTTCTACTTGGGCTCCTTAGTCGGATGAACTGCTTCTAGTGAGTACTGTCTTCCTCACTGAAACTGAAATCCGACACTCATAGCTTCAGTGACCTGTTATTTTGTCTAGTTGTTCTATGAATTGTTTTTTCCATTTCTTATTATTGATTTTTATCAATTGATATTACATTCACTAAAAGTGAAGTAGTTCGAACCTAATGCTTTCTATACTTAACTAGTTATTGACGTTTTATTTATTTATACTTTCATAACGTATAAGAAATATGCTCAGTAGTGTGTCATAACTTTTCTTGCTACACCGCAGGTCAAAAGAAATATTTTAATTACTTTTATTTCCCATGAATTTTCACTTCAGAAATTGTTCTTAACTAATTAAACAATTCCCACAGAATAAGGCTTATCATACAGTTATTTTAAGATAATATGTGACTGGCTACATTTCCTATAGAAAACTGACCCCTGCCAATGGAAATCTTCCTTCGCAGATGTCACTTTGTTATTTTATCTAGGATCACATATTTTTACCATCATATGTAGTTGGCAATAACAAACATTCACGGTGTGTCAATCATTGTAGTACCCTTTTTCACTAGATTCAAAATTCTTTAAATTTAGTCACATATCCACAGCAGTAGTAGCATACAGTCTGTATTCTTCACAGATACTGAGAAATAATCCTTTTGAAAATATGCTTTGAAAAATCACTATTGGCAAAATATGCTCCCTAATGAATTTAACAAAACTTGCATCAATTCCTGTTACCATTTAACTTTAGAGTCTATCAAAAGCTGCTTAAGCCTCTGTCAGTTAAAACGGATATTCGCTTGGATGTACGTATCTACTAAATCTTTGTTTTAAGACATCGAAGGGTGTCATTTTTCTATTTCAAGATGGTAATCCTTTTAATAGAAGTGTGTCAGTATCAGTCATCACCCAGCACAAATACTAGTCTGCCAAACTACTGCTATCTCAAATAGTCGAATGATATAAAATTATGTTTCGTAGTAAAATGATAAGTGGAGGAACGGAACATCCTCAATGTTTGCAAAGTCAAGTCGTTCTAGCAAAGTAACTAGTAATTCAAGCATTTAGCACGCATATAGAATGATTTATGACATTTTATTGCAAAAGTGTTTTTCTTAATGATACTTGACAGTGTATAATGATAAATTCACCAGAAAATCTAGGTTTATCAGTGTTTTGTACGTCAGAAAAGCTTACTTTTACTTCCGATGTTTGCAAAGAAGACTAAAGCATCTGCAATCCGAGGAAATGAGAACAGTGAAATGTAGAGCCAAATCTCGTACGCATTATTACTTTTGTCAATTCATAGGAATGGCAAAAATTAAAATATGAAAATAACAACTTCAGCAATCTATCTTATCATCCTTGCCTTTATATTCTTGATTGTCACTTTTCTCCTGGGCAAAACAATCATATACGGAAATCATGCAGCTTGCACACGGAAGGTGAGGATTCTGCTAATGATTTCCTTCTGTATCGTATTTGCATCAAACCTCTTTCTCCAGGTCCTGAACTGGTTTCAAGGGGAGAACGACAAGGATTTAAAATGTGTGACTGAGAATTTTACATTATCTGAAAAACAACAATGCACAAAGAAATGAATTAAAAAGGCGGGGTGAAGTTCTATAAATTTATTTCAATATTAAAATATACTCAGGCAATCTAGTTTCTGACATCGTGCAATAGGAATGCACTTAGGAATATTTTTGGATATTTTCGGTTCCTGGGGTTCCATATGACACTAATATAAACTATTTGAACTCTAGTTTTCAGGCTTTGAATTCATTGGAAGCAACCATACACTTTAAGTGTGCAATTACTTTCACAATAACGTTGATTTTTCTCATGCTTAAAAGGATAATGGCCGTCACCGTTTGTATCCGTGTCTTTGACCATATTTTATCATTAGATGTTGGAAGATCAACTAATAATGTAGCGAAATTTAAATTTAGCGAGCATTTTTTCGCCGTTAAGGGACAGTCATTGTATATGAGAATTACCAAGTGATCACTAAAGGTCAACTAACGCGGAAGCGTTGTATGTAGTTCTAAAAACCAAAACCTTTCAATCTATGTTGCAATGATGAACCCTGAAGTAAAACTCCCTTATAATAAAGAAAAGCACAAGACCTTACCTTTGTTTCAAATGTTGGCGTAAAAAGGCTATCAACTGCTTTTAGGAATGAACAGACATCTGTCAGTTAATTTGAGGTAAAGGATACATTTGAACATTTTTGTTATGTTTGTAGGCGAAAAATTCTTGAGCGAGATGTGGATGGTGAAAAAGTGATGGTACTTTGAATGAAAACAAAAAAACACAATCTCGATGAATATCACGCAAATCCAAGCTGCTCTGAAACATATGAAACAGAAAAAGAAGAAATCCTTCATATTAGGTTATGTATATTAAAATTCGTCTCTTTCTTCAGACCAAAGCAAACGCTCAAATATGATACTGGTACATCCAGTACATGCTCACTGTTATAGTGAATAACATGAAGTCTAAATTGATAGGACAGAGAATTTGTCTTCCATTTCACTCTAAGAAATCATTGCATCCTATCTAACTTCCTTCAACGACAAGTAATTTAATATATCGGGTTATGATACTGATTAATTTTCACACACTTGTAGATGGTAACTAGGTCATTAGATTGCCCTAGTAAAACAAGTCGTGGCAGTTGAACAGATTTTAATTCGACAGCTGCTCTTATTCATAATCCGCTGCTAACAAATCTGTAAAATAAATACGTTAGCTATTTTTGCGTTACACTTATCCTTGTAGTTAGTATTTACTAAAAATATAACGGTTTTTGATTTCTCTTAACTTTAGATTGTGATTCACCTTGCTGATCCTCTATGGACATCTCTGAACAGTGTAACTATTATATCCAAGTGCCAATGTACAGAATAATTTCTGTAGCGTTCTACGTTTTTGCAAATGCCAACTCTTTATTTTCTTCTGAAATTTCAATACCCCAGAACAATTCTGATTCAAGGAAACCAGTCATTATAGAAGCTCCGACTGATCTGATCACAACCGAAAGTATTCTGGAATTCACTTGTAAGGCTAAGGGAAGTCCAAATCCTTTGATCGTGTGGTATAATGCAAGTACCGGTAGACCTCTTGTAGACAAATTGCAGACAATCGGTTACCAAACAAGCGTACATGTTAACAAACACTTAGGCCAGTTGATGATCTCCAACCCAACACCAGGGAAATCGTATCGCGTTTATTGCAACGCTACTAATTCTGCTGGCTGGATGATAAGTGAACCCCCTGCTACAGGGGCTATTGCATTTTTAAATTCCGAATTTCGTTTACATCCTTCTGATATTGAAGCAGATGAAGGTACTAGTGTAACCCTTGAATGCTTACCACCAATTGGACTTCCGAAACCTAAATATCTTGGATAAAGGATAATAAAACAATCATTACCGATGATAAATTACAAAATTCTCAGGATTCATATTTGTCAAATATCAGGATAACGGCAGGTGGAAATCTGAAAATACATCCAACTAATGTCGAGGATACTGGAAATTACATTTGTGCTGCATTAAACTTAGTTGGTCAACGGCTTTCTCATTCTGCATATGTGAATATCAAACCACGTGATTATAACTACAAAACCTCCAAGCTAATTCGGGCACGACAGGGTGAACAGGTAAAACTCTTTTGTCCAGATACGAAAGATAAACCAGTGAAATGGAAACGTAAATTAAAACAATTGACCGTTACTTCAAATCGAATCGAACAGCGTAAAACAATGTTAATTATTCGTCATGCAGTATTTTCAGATTCTGACATCTACATCTGTACTACGTTAGATGGTAAAGAATCAGAAGTACGTCTAACAGTTGAAACCCCCCCAATCTTCTGAAATCACCTACTGATTTGACGCTAAATCTCGGTGATAAAGCTATATTTCCATGTGTTGCTGATGGTTATCCTAAACCTGGAATATACTGGGAACTACCAGACAAAAGTCCAGTTTTCCCAACGGACAATTTAACAGAAGATACTTCAAACAAGTACAAAGTTCACGTTGATGGAACACTAGAAATAACTTCAGTTACATTCAAGGATGCCGGAAAATACCACTGTATTGCACATTCATCTGTCGACATGGTTCAGACAAGTGCTACGTTAAGAATTCAGCGACGAAAAAAGAACTCTATGCCAGCATCAAACCACAGTCGAGTTTTGAACAAATTGAAGGAAGTTGTTATTGAAATGAACTCATCGAAGTTTTTAAAATACGTACCACCTTATATTGGATTACCACCGTCAAATAAAACACAGGTAGTTGGAGAATCTGTGCTTATAGACTGTGAACTACCTCGTTTGGTTAGAATTGTCTCTCCAGGAAAACTACAAAATGTTGACAATCTTGGTCATAATTACAGGAAGGTCTTTGATATTCAGAGTACTGAAAATTGGGAAATAAGCTGGAGACGTGCAGTTTTATTGCATACCAATATGAATCAACTGACTTATGAAATGATTCATGGGAAAAACGTAAGATTTAAAATTCTTCAGAGTGGAAGCTTGCAAATAAATGATCTTCAAATAAGTGACTCTGGAATATATACTTGTCAAGTGAAAGATGAAACGAATGTTAAATATGAGGTTGCGGTTCATTTGAGCGTACTATTTTCCAAACCTAAAGAAGCTATTTCAGACTACCTTCAGGAATATCCTCTCTCTGCTCCAAATAATCTTCAAGTGATGAATACAACAGACCGAAGCATCACACTATCTTGGAATCCCCCTTTCTTGTACAGCACAGATGGTCAAAGTAGATCCATTTTACCTATGAACTACTGGATTGAAATTTACACACCTGAAAGGTCCGACGAAGGGTGGATGGCAGTGGAACGGACTTGGCCTGTTAATTTGATCACTTTAAACGGTATCAGTTCCGATATTCCATACTACATTATAGTTCGTGCAAGATTAGGTGAGGGTCGAGTAGGATGGGCAAGTGATCCGTTTGGACCCATATTTACGAAAACATCAAAAATATATAGCAAATACACTTCCAGAAGACCAGACAGTAGTATGGAACAACTTGCTTTGAAACCTGTTGAGCTGAGAAATATTCAACTAACAGTTCTGTCACCTAAAAGTATCCATGTTAGCTGGAATGTATTTGAAATGCCATCAATTTTATCACGGGTGAATGGATATATCATCTATTATCGAAGTGTAGAACATGTACGGTGTTTAAACGACAAGTATTTGCAAACGGGACCAAATGATGCAAACTTTGTGAATAACTATTGCAGCTTAAATCCAGAGAACTATCACAAATCGTCTGGTGTTAATGAAATATACAATCGCCTGGAGTTGATGAGACAAATTTATCAAGAAGAACAGGAGAATAACATAACAGATTCCGTTACTTCTTTACCAGGAGTCATTTCGACTGTCACTATCGAAGCACATTATACAAAAGGTGTACAGGATAGTAAGGAATCCCAACCCATAAACCATAAAGTTACATCCTTACTAACAGAACTTCGACCATTTCGTTGTTATGAAGTGGGGATAAAGGCTTTTCATGAAAAAGTATCAGTTAGTTATTTAGAAACCCGCGATATATTTACACATACAGCGCTGACCTACGAAACAAGCCCAATGTCAGCACCAAGAAACATATTTGCTGGTTGGCTGTTTGGTGGAAATCTGGAGCTGGATGGACAGCACCACCTGTGTCTGAATGGAATGGAATTATTCTTGGGTATATTGTTTATATACATGATGAAGTGTTAAAAACGTACCAAAATGTAAATGTAAGTTCTGAGGGTAGAAAGATTACCATAAGTTTAAATTCATTACCAAAAGCATTTAGTATTCAGTTAGCTGCATACACATGTGTTGGTATTGGAGTTAGAAGTGAATCTTTGAAAATTGACACGAATCAAAATATTTTTTCAAAAAGTGACAGAGATTTGTCTACATTAAAAACGACTGAAAACCTAAGGAAATCAGCATTTTCCGTTTTAACGGAGTATTCAAGTAAGGATGAAAAATTAGTCAGTCAACCGTGGTTCATTAGTGCTATGATTAGCAGTCTTTTAGCGTGGTGCGTTATATTTGGAATGTGTGCTCTCTGTTGGACACGTCGTAACAAGTTTTGCAAGAAGCGTTTAACTTACCAAATATCACAACCTAATTTCCAGTACAGTACACCTTCAGATGACAAACATTGTAAGTCTAAGTTAAATAACATGGATGAAATGGATAAATGTTGTGCTATACAGCATATTAGATATCCAAAGAATCAGATGAGCAATGCTTCGATGACAATAAGTGTTAGTTCAGGTGACCAGACAACTGACGCCAAGATTCACCCTCACGTTTCATATTTGCCGATAAGACAACCATCAGAGAATACATCAAACGGGAGTCCAAAAAACTATGGTTTACGACATCTAGAGTATTGTGAAGAACCTCGTATAGGCGTGTCTAAACCTCAGCCTAAGCCGGATCGGTTTCGTCCCAATATTGGTACTGAAGGTATTCCCACAAACACTAATTCTAATATGCCCCAGATGTTTCAGACATTTTCTAGACGTTTTACTCCGAATTCACCTACAAATATTGCTTATTTCTCCAGTGAGAACCAAGATCCTATCAAGACAAACTCATCACACTTAACTTCGGCCTCACAAACTAGTTCTGAACCATTTGATTCCGCTATTTATTTGGAACAGATACCTAATAGACTACACTTTAACGATTCCTCAGGTTCTGCCTTAACTCCACCAACGGTGATGACTGCTTTGAATGGTAAAACCAGTGACTGTTGCAATGGAAAAACCTACTCACCTGTTGTCACACCATATGCAACGGCCTCTATTATACAAAGCCAGAATCATGATACTATTTTACAATCACCTAAACAACAAGTTCAACCAAACAATAATATTTCATTGAATGATACCATTAACCCAATGGAATTCTGTCCCCAGAATATGTATATAACATGCATGGACCTATCCAACTGTCAGAAAGCAATGATCATTACAAACACTGGTGGTATGGAATGCAGCTGAAAACGATAAAAAAAAGCAAAACGAGGCGTTAAAGTAACGAAGTATAAAGAACATAATTAACTTATCATATGAAACACTGTAACTAAACCATTAACAAATCTTTTCATTGTTTTTTAAACTTCTAATTTTGCACCGTATTACAGAAATCTTTGTAGATTCACTACTATGCCCTCATACTTCTGATGTTTATGCATTTACTCAAGGGAAGTTTAGTAATGAAAAGATCCGTTTCCAAACAAATGACTTGGTTTGCTTTTCACCGGTTATGCAGCTTAAACTGGCTGTGATAACCTGAAGTTAGTGCAGAATAAGGATCTTTGTTTTCTAAAAAAGCAGTTACTGATGAAAATTACTCATGAGTATAGAAATCTATTCCAGCATTCTACTGGATAATCATACTGGTACTGAAAAGCTTTCACTTTCTAGCCACTAACTCCGTAACAGTTAATATTTTCTATAACAGTAGTACGAAAATTAGCCACAAAAAGGGACTGTTAATTAAAACTACGCATTCGAAAAAGTAGGATGCACTGAGGTGGTTAGGCTTGAGTAAACTCTGTACAAATCAAAAACGTTTTGAGATTAGTTATGTAAGTAATTTTGATCATAACTTTTAAGCACACAATTCAAGATATCAGCTGGTTGAGGACCTCAGAAAAGATATTTAGGCTTACTTCTAAAAAAACCTTTTTGTGAATGAGCGTAATTGCGAAACTCAACATCATGTAGTTCATTCATATAAATATAAAACTATTTTTCCACGTACAACTTCTTAAATAGCAAAAGTGGCTAAGACTGGTTTCATTGTTATGAGTATTAAAATATTAACACATCCAAAGTACGAAGAAAACCGGAAATACAGTGACTGCTTTATTTTTTGTACTTTCAGACATCCAGTAGTTATATAAGTTTAAAACTGTCTGAATTTTTAGTCCACTATACAAATATTCTCAAATTATGTGGACCTTAATATGGTCATTCTTGTCGATTACTCTGTTTACTCACTTATGACAATCTCGAATACATCTCAAAGTGGCTTAACTACTTCATATTTATAACTAATACTGCTGGATAAACCTGTAAAGTACTCTTACTAGGTATATCTAATCACGTTTCTAGACGCATGTGAAGATCTTAATTTTTTAGAAGTGCGCCATATCTTGACACGGGATTATTTACTTGATCGGTTTTTCGAGCATACACTATTGCTCACAATCACGTCAGAGTCCTTACACCTCCCTGTATGCCACATCTAATAAACAAATCTGATATGGAATTATATTCTGCCATGGTGCGCTTATATTGAAAAAGTTAAACTTAATTGCTTATTTCAGTTTGCAGGATGAAATGAGGCAAGAATCCAGACCCTCTACTGTAAGCAGTTTGGAATCATGGTGTCTGACATCATTGGTATATGATTCACTTTCAAAAATGTCTCTTAGCCAAGTTTCACTGCCCAACACTTCTAAACAGCAATAAGCTTATGAACTTACACAATGATCTTAGAAAACGTTTTTAAAATGTCCCTTGCAAAGACTTATCAGAAAACGAGTTACATCAAAATACAAGGTTTATTCGACGTCCATGAACTTCAAAAGATCATAATCCAAATCTTCACAAATATTCTTCTCATTGTAGAATGCTTTTGATTGACTCTATAATGTACCAAAATTGTCGTATCTTAGCTTACTGTGTTTCGTTGGGAAAAAAAAGCACATAAGTGCAACTACTTTATTGATGAAAAAAGTAACATTCATAGTCAATACAATCGATTTCGACCAGAAGGGATGTAAATATTCCGAATCATTTGTTAGATCTAACGTCGGCAGATTTTCCCTGTATTCCCAGTACACTGCATGATTCCGTTCTACAACAAGATGAAAACGACACGCAACATACGTGGGTAGAAGAGATGAAAGATGAACAAGCAGTGGTGTTCTGATTAACAGGTCATCGTACCGCTTATTTTGAAAAGTGACTTATGGACGAATATATCTTGTCTTCCACTGTTATAAAACCTTATTGATATTTTGTTTCTCATAAACTTGGCTGTTTCTCCGTTGCACATCGCTACTAGTGTACAGTAAGATATTGGATGGTTGTTGAATCTATAAGTCCAAAAAATGCATTATGCAGAGTTCGTGTTAAAAAAGCTATCGCAAATCCGAAAATATCGGAGTCACCATGTCTCACCTATGAAATTAAAAGTGAAGTTTAGAAGTTGAACTTCTACAACGCTGTCTTTAGATAAAGATGGAAAAAACAAACTGGGAACTTACTTCATTCCCCTGGAAGTTTGTGTTAAACTCTGGAGTGTTCGAAAAGTGAGAGATCCAATCTCTGACTTATCAGTGGGTTAGGTTACTTCTTTTCTGTGATCATTACTGGATGAACTCTGTAGAACGGTTTTTACTAGTGTAGTTGGTTAATAAATGAATTCTTCTCGCTTCAGGTTCCCACTGATACCATATTATTACTCATAGGTAGCAAGGTTTCTTGAAATATTGTTGAAACATGAATAAAACGGTTGTTTTAGATCTTGGAAGTCCTCTCCTCAAGTTATTACTGTCTACTGACTCACTTCACTGCTAGAAACGAGCCGCTGTAACATGTTTCCAGCAAGGAGAACGCCGAATCGCAACTGAAAACTGTTGTTTTATAAAGTAGTTATGATATATTCTGCTCCACGATTTAATCAGTCATGGAATGTCTGTTCGTGAAGAACAGAATAATTGATGCTTAACAAAATAAACTTATGATGTATACTGATCTGCTCGGTTGATGAAAAATATATGATGTAGGAAATTAACCCTCCTGTAATCGATGAAGTTTCACTTCACAGATTTTGTTGTCCAATGCCTTTTTTAAAGAGTACCAACGAGTAAGTGAAGCATGAACTGTTAGTATATTTTCCTTTTTGTGGTGGTGGTAAAAAACTAGAATTTACTTACCGTTATTCCAATATCAAAGAGAATGACTAAAGCCAAATAGCCCATGAGAGAGATTTCCATCGGTTTGATCAAAATCTATGTATTTTTATTCAGATTAGCAATAAAATAAAATGTCCTATGAACTCAGTACAACAAGTTATATAGATTTCTTGTCACGGTGAATAACAGGTTTATAAAACCGGTTTTCTTATACATATCACTTCAACAGTTATCTACCTTGAAGCAGCAGTTTTGCTTTTTATGATACGTAGAGAACGATAACTCACCACTGTGGTGCCACTAATAGATATTCAGAATGAAACTGTACAGTGTCACTTACTTCTGTGAATAATTACTTTTTACACTAATTTTCGTATCGGCAAAATATTTTATGAAAGCGTATGTAATTATCGATTCTCATGTGTTCAAAGTAAGAACATAAAGGCTAGTTACTGCATCCATATAGTTCCGTGCATACGTTTTGGAAAATGCTTTGTTTTAAAGACTGACTTCAACCGCTGATTCATGAATACTGCGAAGCAAGGAATCGAATTTATCACCGTTTAAAATTGCATTTATCAGGTTTCAAGTAATTCATAGGAGTCAGCCTGATATTTCACCTAATTTGGAGCAAATAACTTTGTAAATGGTGGATCATCACCGCTGTAGCTTCCTAATCCTTAGCCTTCATAGCTGGTTGAAGTGTATCCATCACATCTGCAATTAGGCTTCTAAGGTCATGCGACTCGACGGTGCACTGTCCTTTGGTGTAAGACATTAGGAGTCAACCTGCTGGAAGTTCTCATGCTTGTTGATACTCGCAAGCAAGACATGTATCTGCCCGGGAAAATTGGTATTATTTCAGTGGTTTGGAAGTTTTACCCAATACCAAATTAGAAATCTAACCATCCAGTCTCAGAAGCCTTGATAGAACTGGTAAAGGTTCAAATCAATGATAGAAATGGGGTTTCTCATGTTTGCAGGTATTACTCAGTGATCAGCTACTTCGTAATTTTCATCTTTCCGCAATCTGCAATCAAGGCAGAGTTAATCTTCAAAATAATAGGATTTATTTGTACTTACCCTTATATTACACTTTGCAAATATCTATGGATGTGTTCAAGCAAATGGCCTAAAGCATACCTAATTTTTGTTATGCATATATATTTTCCAACACTTTCTTGTTCATACAGTATGTATGGCTCAACATGATGCTGCATTTTTCGGAAAAGTGAAATCATCTGGTAGGTCAGTATATTATTTATAGAAGCAGTGACTAAATTTTTAGCAATACTTTTTTGTGACATTCGCACTAGTTTTTAATTTCTATGCTACTGATCGCTATTAATTATTATTTAAGGAGTCGGAGATTTTGGTGTGAAATACCGTATGGAGAAGGTTAAGGCCACATATAAAGTGAATTCCCCGAAGTATGTGGTGTCTTCCAGGTAACGAACCATACGTTTAATGAATTATGTCACCGTTTTCAAGTGTGATCAAATGATTTGCATTTTGAATGGATTAACAGATCTACAACCATTGAATAGTAAAAGCGTTTGTAAACGGTTTTCGTCATAAAACCACATTAATTATTGAAATTCTGAGAAAAACCAATCCTTGAACAACTATTTTCTCTCACTTTTGTCACTCATTCTGTAGAGTCGATCGACAACTACATTTAAGGTACAACTAAAGACTTGGTTTTTTGACCATGGGTACTCATTGATCACGTAAAGCTATCACAGGTTCATTGGTTGGTGATTGGATGGCAACCAACATAATCTTGTCGTGACCTATTTACTGATCGAATTTTATGGATCATTTTGCAATGTGGTCACCAGGCTAGGGGACGAAGCACTGCGATTCTTTTTGATAGTTGTCAGTTGGGTGGATGCAATTGGTGGGAAGGACTGGACCTAGGTTCCGTGCTTTTTGGCAATAGTCGACAAGGCGTATCTACTATCTTGACGTAGCTTATGTCCCACCCGGGATTCGAACTCGCATTGCCTACTGTTGCTATCAGAGACGTTACCACTAGCTTATGTTACCTATGACTGCAACAATGAGGGA